ATTGTTGTAGGAGCCGTAATGGTTGTTCCTCCTACCATCGAAGTTACTACAACAACTGATCCAATCTCCGAGGCTGGAATAGCACCCCCCACTCCTGTGCCCGTCTACAAGGTTGAGGAACAGAGTCAGTGCATGTCTCACAAGCAGGTCGTACAGTATTTTCCTTACAAATTGTGGCGGAATGGATAAAGTAGATGTATTCGGTTTTGCTGAAACGTCGTCTGCATACATGTTGCCTATTTCACCTCCTTCCTTCGAGTACTGTCCACTCAGTAAATTTGCCTTCGAGCCCTGTGAGACAAAATCTCCGGTCGTCAAAGAACCGTACGAACCGTCTGGAAACTGGTAGTTGGTCGTGAACTTGTCGTAACACATGGGTATGTTCAAATTCCGAATGTTGACGCAATCGAGTGACTCGCGACAGCAGAAGCCGTCGGCTCGAGCAGAGATGAAGTTGTCCGGCCGGCGCCTCCGAAAATGTATATCCCTGACGGATGCGAGAAGGTCAATGTATAGAGTTTTCAAGTCGGAACCGACCGTAGGTGACTTAGTACCAGTTGCACCTGATGGATTGCATGGATTGCAGGGGTCGCGAGTCTCCAAAATCTCGAACTGAATGGCCTGCATTGCCGTTGCTAGGAGAGTGAAGAGCAAGAGCTTAGCAGACATGGCGACTAGGATTTCTGGTGCGATTCTCCAGCGAAACGGCAACAAGGAGCTGCTCAGAGCATATAGGTCGCTCCTTCTGCACGCTTAGGGGGAATGATGTTACGGCGAGTATTAGCCGCCTCAATATGGGGACAATGGGAAGCAACAAGAACGCAAAAATCTCTCCCTGGGGGTAAATGTACTTATCTACGATCCTGAGCAAGCCCATGCAAAAACTAGGGTTGCGAGTTCATCATACGCCACATGCACTTAGAACGCCCGGCACTTTATTCCCTGTATTCCTCGCTGAAGGTATTTTATAGTTGGTCGTATTTCCTTTGCCTCGACGTCACACGGTCAGACCTTGGGTGAGGTATCTGCGATCATGCGGGGTCCTTTCAATGCGAGACATGGTCAGCGGATCAAAGACGAGTGAAACACTTCCGACCCTTGTATTATCGAAAAGCCGGCAAAATCAGGCATCAGGTTACAGACAAACCGATCATCTTGTCACATGTTGTTCGCCATTTGCTCCAGACTGATCCGCTTATCAAGGATTGTTCTTTCGAACGAAACCGTGAGCCGAAAAACACATACCTTTAGGTACCACTTCCCAGCTAGACCTATGGCGTAATACTACCCTGCAATGGTCTTAACTGGCCAAGTGCGCGTGAGAGCTTTTAATTGACTTTGTTGAGAAGACGAATACGGCTCGGCATGGAGACCTTGCAGGTGACATCGTCACAACCGCTGGAGTCTAATCCCACTCCAGCTAGTACACCTGTCAGCGGCGCTCTCTGGGAATCTCGGATGCTTTGTACCTGCAGCATAGTCCCACAGCTTGGAGATCCATGACTTGCAGTAGTGAACTTCCCTAGTAGGTATTGAGAATGCCCGTTGACCTTGAGTCGGGTATCAGCGAAATCGACACTTCTCACCGCACGCTCGAGGGTAGCCAGGAAAGTCATCAATAAAGCCTAGTGCATATTTCCAATCATTTTGAAACTATCGCAACCGGAACGCAGGCATGCTGAGGATACCCAAGTACGGCTAGTTCTAGCTCTCACCAGTAAGCTTGTGAGACTATTGCCCGTTGACCACGCTCTTCCCCTCCAAATCTCGAAGTCTGATCCCATCCACCAATCCTCTTTGCTGTCCTCTCCGCCCACCTCTACCTTCAGACCACGCACGCTGTTCTGCCCACGTGATTGGCTGTAAAACAAATGCGCCTAGCAGGCAGAAGAAGGTTGCCCAGAAGTGCCAAAGCCAGACCAAAATCCAGCCCGGAGGCACTACAAACTTGACAAACTCGTCCACCTGGTAGAGGTCGTTCTGGCTGGAAATGTAGTACTTGTCATCGCTTCGGCTGTGTTCCAACTTGAGGACAGATGTGAGGTTTACAGGTGCCCGATAGAAGGGAATGATCCAGATGCTGAAGACTTGAGAGATGTTGACGTAGAGGAGGAGATTGGGCTCATCATATGCTAGTGCACGTTAGAAAGAGAGATGACTCCTTGTATTATATATATAAAGAGCGAGTTGAAGTGACGCACCAACAGAATTGACGGTGAGATCGATTTTTGGACTCATGATTTTGTACCATCTATAGATTGCCTGAATCAGGAACCGCGAGTTGTCCCAACTTCCAGTACGGCAAAAAGGATGTGTAAAGGAGGCATCTGGCGTGAAGTATGTTTCTATTGTTTCGCGCTGAATTGAGGGCGGCGATTGAGTGAGCAGGTGTATCACCCCAGAAATCTCTTTTGCTAGCAGACTATTAGCGAAACTTCGAGAGAGAGCATATGGACATACCCGGGTTTTCCATTCTAACGTCTATCACAATCTAGCGATGGGGAGTACTCGCGAGGTGCGATGGAGGCAGGAGGATTGTCGTGTTTGTGACGATCATTACGTCATCCCTCTTCGGGAGCGCCAGCGTAGGATTCTCCTCACCAACATCGATACTGGGTAACCGGCGCTCGAGGTTTGACGGGCTTGTCTTATAGTTACGGGCCTCGGTACGAAGTGTAATCGGTCATCATCCTCTATTCACTATTCATACATCTGCATCCTACTCCGCCTCATTGTTCAAGACCACAATCCCATACGGATCGCGGTCGACCTCACTAACGATCACATCAAAGTCATCTTCTGTCAAAGCCTCCTTGAGGCCCTCGTCGCTGCTCGCCTCTTGTCTGACTTTTGACCATTCCTCTACGATTGCATCCTCCAATTGCTCTGCCAACACCTCGCTCAGGAAACCCCGCTCTGAATTGCTGTGAAACAAATTAATCACCACCTGGCCCTTCTCAATGGCTGCGAGGGCTTCGTGGTGGCTCATTTCACCCGTGAAGAGCAAGTCTAGGTCGAGATTCGAAAGGAGCGAGGCACCGGACCCCGCGCATATACCGACAGAGGATATGGTGATGTCGGATACCGACGCATTCTGGGGTATGGCTATCGGGAAGCCTTTGGGGTTGTTCAAGCCGCGTCCTATGCGGTCGAGTAATGAGGGCAGAGTCTGCGGCTCTTGGAAGGTGACGATGCGACCCATGCCTGCGCCCGGATGCGAGTCGAGTTCGGGCGACTGCGGGACGATTGGACGGCGAGTGTGTGGGAGGCCTGTCCGGGATGGCGACGACTGCTTTGCAAGGCGCAGCTGCGTCTGGCTTGGGTGATGAGTGAGCTTGAACATGGGCGGTCTCAAGTCTTTGCCCACAGCAGGGTCGTGATGGTGATGGCCCTGGGCTGAAGCTGAAGCACTTCGATGGTAGCTCGTCTTCATGCCCGTCACAATATCAGCCAGCCAGTCGCCCAGTCCTCCCGGGGCAGCATCGAGTGCTGTATGCGGACTGTAGACGCTGATGCCATGGCTGGCCAGCCTCAGCAGCGTCTGTTGCTGTGTGTTTGCGAGGGTGAGCGACTTCAAGCCGCGGAAGATGATGGGATGGTAGGCGACGACAATGGACGAGTTGAGGGCAATGGCCTCATCGGCGACGGCCTTTGTGAGATCGATGGTGAGGAGGACGGTGTTCGACTGTCGGCGGGCGGCCACGAAGGGGGCTTCGAGGAGCAGGCCGGTGTTGTCCCACGAGCTGTCGGCGAGGGCCTGCGGGTACAGGCGCTGCATGGCGCTGACCACGGCCCTCGAGAAGGGCGCACACGTCGCGGTCGCTGCGCTCATGGTGGAGAAGCAATGGCGCCTCAGCGTCGGCGACAACATGCAAAGGGCAGAACGAGCAAGCAGTCAAGATGTGAGATGTGAGAAATCGAGCCAGACTTGACTTCCAACGTGCCCCTCATCCGCCGCCCCGCCATCTTATCAGATTCTGAGATCAACCTCAAAAGCAATCGCTTGCGGCCGGTGCGATGGATCCTCGACACCAACTCTCCAACCAGCTCGGCAACCTTACTGTTGGTCCACACGACGAGATGAGTGCCCAAATGGACGTGGACGCTGCCCGGCAGCCTTCGTCAGGCGTGACAGCCGATGCGATCCGGGCAAAGCTGGTGGAAACGCTGGGGGCCACACACGTGCAGATCGCAGACACGAGTGGTAGGTGAAATCGTGCTGTTCTGCCGTTTTGTCCAGTACTTGCCGGAGTGCATGCTGATATCGCGCAGGCGGGTGCGGGCAAATGTTCGAGGCCGTCATTGTGTCGCCTCAGTTCGCGAAGAAGACCACGCTGGCAAGACATCGACTGGTCAATGGCGCGCTCAAGGAGGAAATCGCCGCGATACATGCATGGACCCCGAAATGTCATACGCCAGAAGAGTGGGAAAGGAAGAAGTCCCAGTAAGCATCTTCACCTCCAAACGGTGCCTGTGCGATATCTGAACGACATGGCGACGTGCGCTTCACGAGTTGGTCAGGGCAGCATGGTGGATGCGACTGTTGATTCGACACATCGCGATTGCTTCACTGCAAGTATGCACATCCATATCACAGTACTTGTATATATAAATACTATTTGGTCTCTTCAAGACACTATCCGTTCATGACCCAAGATTCTTCCTCCGACCGAGGGACCGTTGCTGTGTGATATGTGACACAGGACACCATTAAAAGTCCTTTGCAACCACTCTTCAAGGTTGCTGAAGTCGTAAGTCGAAGCGAAGAATTGCAGCAGTGTTCGTCTAATTGTAACATCTGCTGGAGAATTTGCAGTGCCACACTAGTTGATAGTGTACCGGATTAGTGACGGTCAAACTTGGAAACCGGGTTACCGTAAAGGATTCTCATGCTCGCCTCGCCTCACCTTCACCCTGTCTGTCGGTGCCACGCATGCCTGCACGCATAAGGATACTCTAAACCGCAAATTTCTCATCAATTCCAGCAGAGCACCTGCAAATCCTCCGTGGCGCAATTGGCTAGCGCGTCTGACTGTTACTCGTCCGCAGAGAGCAATCAGGAGGTTCGTGGTACGTATTCATCAGGAGTTTCAAATTCACAGCGCCGACTAACAGTCCCTTAGGTTCGAGCCCACGCGGGGGAGTCAGGCGTTTCTTTTTGGGTTTTTTATACCTCGCTGTTGAGGAATGGTTGGGGTTTACCCAAAGCTTAGGTGTTATAAAGCGGAAAGCCGGGGCATTACTCTTTACACCTGAAAAGGTGCAATACCGTGCCAGAGTAATTTTTAGAGACTCAAGTACAAGCGCATGTCTAAAGGCCTAACAGATATCGTGGTACTGCATGGCTGATTAGATGCGCATGTCACTTCGTCAAACTAGACACAGTATTAATTTATGATGGAGAGGACAGTCCAACACCAGCTTTAACGCGACCTACGGGCTCCCATACAACCCTCATGCAGCTACGCCTTACAACTCTGGAGACGCTTTCGACAGTCCAAGAACGAAGCATCCCTGCACCTATGCTCGAACACTGTACATATTCCGTCACCGTAATAGTACCCAAGGCATTTGCGACACAGAGCACGGCTTGTGAACTGGGGTGACATGCCATTCCTCAAGAGGAGACACGAATTGATAAATGTTACTTAACCGCAGAGCTGTCGTGCCGCGCAGGAAGGCTTATTTGTATGCACTTGCTCGCTCTCCTCTGCGAGGTTGAATCTTCCAGACCATGTGGGGAACCCCAACCCAGGACAGAGAGCATGGACCCATGGCAACGCCAGATCCGTTGTGAGTCATCCCAAACTCCGAAAAATTCCAATGTAATATCCCCGAGAGCGCCTAGATATCGTTCTTTCCACCCATAACCTTGGCCGCCTGCACGGCATTCATCTTCTGCGTCCATCCCGGCGCCGGTACGAGCCGGCGCACAGTGCGGACTTCGTCAGATGCGTAGCCGGGAATGCGGATGTTGTAGTTGCGCTCGAGGACCATCTGAATATCGCGCACGTCAAGCTGCGACGATTCGCGGAGTTTGGACAGTTTGCAGGCGTTGCTGATGACGGTGTCGACAAAATCGTCCGCGAGTTGGAGCACGGCCTGGAGAATGATTAGCAGCAATAGATGAGCGGAAAGCTACAGACTTACCTCTTCAACCTCTGGAGTGAGAGCCTCGCCCGAACCACCCGTGACTTGACGAACAAGCTCGTCGAGCTTGCGCTTACTCAGAACGCGGTCGTTTTCGCCCTCAAGCTGGAACGGCGGGTATTTGGAGAGAACCGGCTGGCCCATCGGGCCCGGCGCACCATTTGTGGGACCGCTCATGGTTGGGCGTGCCTGTCCCATTGCGACTGCATTGGTCGGCATAGGCGGGAGGTTGCGAGGGATTGGCATCTTGGGATTGTTCATCTGCTCGCGCTCCCGGCTGCCCGGGGTGTGGAAGTTGCCTTGAGCGCCGCCTTGCATTGGGGTCGTCGTTCGCTGGGCGTCTTGATTCGAGTACGATCTCTGTGCTGCGCTCACGGCGGCCTGATGCGAGAGGGGAGTAGGTGCAGCGTTGGAGGTGGCTGACTGCGGGTGTGGTGAGTTGCTTTGTTGGTGGACCTGTGGCATAGAATTTGCTTGGTGGGGATTTATAGGCGGGCGTTGCGGCTGCTGGTGAGTCTGCGGCGGGCCGGGTTGCGCAAATTGCGGCTGGTTCTGATTTTGCTGTGGGTGAGAAGCGGGTGGCTGTCGCATGGGCTGTTGCTGTTGCTGTTGCTGCGGGAGCGAAGGCGCGGGGCCCTGGGTAGTTTGCTGAGACTGTTGAGGGGATGGCCCACCTGCCATGTTCGCGAATTGCTGCGCGGGAGGCACTTGCGCCATCTGCCCGCCCTCAATCTTGACCTGTGGCTCTTCTTTGATGCTTGTCTGTGACGGTTGGTGTTGGTGTTGTTGTTGCTGTGTGGTGGGAGGAAGCTGTTGGTTTGGTTGCACCTGCGCAGGCTGGTGAGGGCGTCGCTGCTCCTGATCGGCCTTGTTTTGCGCCTGCTTTCTCCTAAAGTTGTCGATGAAATCTTTTGCCGAGTTGTATTCCTTCTCCATAGTCTGCTTCTGTGAGAGTAGCTCTGGGGGGATCTCCTGGCCCGCCTGCTGCTTCTGTTCAACCATACTGTTAAGCATCTTGATGCGATGAGTTGCCTTCTGCTGCCTATTCAAGGCCATCAGATAGCTGTTGCGCATCTCTTTGAGCTTCGCATCGCCCTCGGGCGTCCCCGCCTGTGGGCCATTTACGGGCAGCAAGAACTTGAAGGCCTGGACGTGCTTGATGATCTCGGGATCGATGCTGGGCGGTTGCTGGTTCGGCTGCGGTGGGCGGGCTTGCTGGGCAGGGTTCGGTGGGGGCTGTTGCATCGGCGGTTGCTGGGGTGGCTGCTGTGAAGGCTGCTGTTGCGAGGGCTGCTGTGAGGACGGGCCGGACTGGCTCTGGTTCTGGTTCTGTTGGGCAGATTGGCCTTGATTCTGCTGCTGCTGCTGCTGTGCTTTCACTCTGGCCCGGTGTGCCCTCTCCTGTGCAATGAGCTTCGTCGACCACTCCTGGATCTTGTCGCGGGCGTGGACGTACTGGGCGCCGCCCTGTGGCTTCGTCTGCATGATGTTCCATAGATTCTGGACGGCCGGCAGGTATTTTTGCTTCATGTCGTTATTTAGACACTGTAGCTTGGGAATATCCTCGGGCTTGAGCAGCTGCGAGCTCTGCTGCTGCGGCGCAGGCGCCCCTTGCGGTTGGGAGTTGCTCATGGCTGCGGGCCGTTGTGAGACTGCGTCCAAGGGACGGGAATGGTGACTATGTTGATAACAATGTGCAGATGCAATGGTTGACGCAGACGGCGGGATGTGAATGGTGAGAGGCGAGGGCGCTGGGCGTTGGGCGTTAGCTCGTGGAGGGCGGGGGCCGATGGCGGTTCAGACGAGGTCCACCCGTGGACATGTCACGTCTTGGCACGATTTGTTCTCAAGCTAAGGGAAGCATCCATGTCCCAACAACGATTCAGCATGGCATCGAGCACAGGAACAGATCCGGAGAACACATTCATTCATCTACAAATATCAATGGAAGAAAGATGTGTTTAGTATCTAGTGCGAAACGAGCCAAGACAGACATGCTCCTTCTCAGCTCTTGCAATTACCTACAGCCTTTTGATGTCCTTCAAGAGCATAAACCTTACATGGAATGCCTGTCGCGGATGAGCTCGACACCGCATCGAAGGCTGGCTGGCCTTCATCGTATGTTAGCCCTCTATGCACTCTGATATGTACGCTCAACACATACTGTGTTCCGGCTCAGACGTGGCTTTTCTCTATCGTAGCCACACGTCAAGTATTTGGGTACGCTTCACGCAATGCTCAAGGGTGAGAGTATTCCCAGGTTCCAAACGCTCAGCTCAGCCATCAAGGTTCACAGAGTCACAGACTCGGACGTCCCTTCTCGGGCGTGTTTGATCAAACGCGAGTGCGATGGCTTGGATAGGCTCAACTTCCTGCTGTCACCGATGCACCCCCAACACCCAGCATACCAGCACTGGCGTCTCTCTCCAGTGATATCTTCATGTCGAGCCACGAGTAGAAATTGGCCGATTGACAAAACGACTCGTACAAGGCATCTCGAGCGCGATGCTTCTGTATAGGGCTCTGGCCTCGCGGTTTGATACTGGAGCCATGCTTTGATAGATTGTTCATAAAGTCTGGCACTGAAAAGCTAGCATAGCGCTGTTTACCACCAGGCGAGACGATGTTTGTGGAGGCCAAGTATCGGTTGATAGGCGCAAGGAATTGCGCTGTAAGCTCTGCGAAATGACGGCGGATCAACGACCCAAGTTCATGCGTCTGGTCGCCAGATCTCAAAAGCGTTTCAATGCGAGAAACAATGGCGTGGTCAGATTTGAGAAAACGTCTGGATGGCGATCGGGCCTCGATTCCCCCACCGGGGAGGTCCAAGAGTGCATTACGGCTCGATTTATGATGGAGGGAGTGATGTCGCTTTGATGGAACGGGCCCGTCATAGCTCTGGAGGTAGAGGATGTGAGGTCGCATTCGATGATTGACTTCAACAGCGCTGATGATGCGCTTGAGTAGGAAAGGATTCGTGATTCCAATGATGAATGGTCTGGGTGCACCGCCGTCCACACCGACGCATCTAAAATCTGCCTGCATAGTCATGTACGGCTTGACCACGCCAGCGTATGGGATTGGACAAACAAGGTCCACCAGAGACGACACTGCTTCGCTCGCTAGCTGAGGTGACTTGGCAACGACAACGATGCTTTCACAGAGCACGAGCTTTTCGAATAGAACGTAGAGGTCCGAGATGCAGGGCATGAAGAGCATGATTGTGTCCCATGATCCGAGTGGCTCGTAGGCACAGATGGAAGACCGCTTGTCAGAGATCAAGGGGATCGGTCCTGCGAGGCCCTGGAGGGGAAAGGCGAAATGCGGCGCAACGTCCAAAGTGACTACGGAACCCAGAAACGGCAGCTCCTGTTTCCCGAGCGAGGGTGCCGGCCAGGTAATCATTTGTGAATGGGCAGCTTCGAGAGTCGCCGGGTCGCTAATGTGTCCAGAGAGAGTCATTTGGTGTAGAATGCGGCTGTAGAAAGAATGGAAGTTGTGGTTGGTGATGAGGACAAGGGTGCGTTGGTTGAAGCTTCTCTTCATGGTATGATCGAATTCTTGACGGAATACGCAAGCGGCGTAGAAAGTGTCGGGACTGGCATGAGGAGGCTGTGGAGAGCTGAGGGGGATGTCTGGCGAGTTGTTGGCGATGGTAAAGTTGAAGGCGAGATCGTCAACAGTCTCCGTGTTCTGCTGCTCGGGGAAGCTGGCAGTGTTAGGGTGCGGTAGACGGATAGGCCATGAGAAGTACCTGTTGAAGCAGATTGCGGTGAGGTCCGAGGGCGAGAAGGGCACATCTGGCGGATATACGATTTCAACCTCAGGTCCTACAGTGCATGGGTCAACTGCGAGCTGGGGGCGACGAGAAGTCGTCTTACCTACCGACATCGACGTTGAAGTTGCAGACGACGCTTTCACGTGTCAGTCTCCGGCAGTGCGCTCCATGGGCAGACAGACGTACAAGGCGATGGCCCAGTGCTGGAAGCCCGTC